TTCAGAATGCAAGATTTGAATTTAACTCTTATTAGGTCAATCTCTATTAACTTAAAATTCTTCAATGTAGATTTTTTGTTTACTATTTTTATTATAATTTAAGAAATTTTTTGTAAAAAACTAAATGTGTAACTCACTTCACCGATGATTCGAATAAATTTTGATAATGCTGCGCTTGAAGTCGCAACTTCAGGTGCTTGATTTAAGTTATCCCTTGAAACACTTCTTACATGCATTAGTTGGTAATTTTGGGTAGGTGCTGATGTTAACTGCAATACGACAATAGGATGAGTATCTCATTTTCTAAAACACTTACTATTTATTTGATTTTTTTTTATTTTCTAATTACATCATTTTTTCATTAACTTTTGACTTTCTAATTAATTATATTATTTTTCATGTATTGCTATTTGATGCTTTATTAAACTAGTTTTGCATTACAAATATTCATTATTCACTTGATAATTTTTTATATTTTATTTTAATTTATTTTTACAATTTATTTTATATCCACAACTAATAAATTATTCATTTAATTATTCCAATTCACATCATTGTTATCCACCTGATGATTTTTTTATATATTATTTTAATTTATTTTTACAATTTATCTTATACCCGCAACCAATACTATTCATTTAATTATTCCAATTTACTAAATACACTGCATATTGTACGAAGGGTCAAATATGACAAAAAACCACCGATGTGTATAAATTATATAAGTTTTGATAATTTTTTTTTGGCCATTTAGTTAAATGTTATTAACGCGTCAGATGACAGCCGACGCATCTCAGATCATCTGAGGCGCTTCATCTAACAATTGACATCTGAAGATGCGTCAGCTGTCAACTGACGCAAGCATCGATCTCAGGCACAACATATATACATATATATTTATAGATCGCATATTTTATCTTACAGTGCATCCTTTATTTTTATCATACGACACATCCTTTATTGGGTATTACTATTAATCTATCGAAATGATTTATCATAGTAATTTATATTAAATGTAGTAACTCCTGCTCTAGTAAAGCAATTTTAATTCCGTAACCTGCAAGTGTTGTATTAATAGTGTGATTTTTAATCTATGTTGCTATATTTAATATGAATATGTAAGTTTAATGTGTCTCTATGGTCTAAACTTAAAAATAAAGATACTTTTACTATTAAAATTTAATAATTTAGAATTCTAGATAAATTAATTAGAAAATGTCTCAACTAGTTGCTGGTGAAACTGGCGACTATCTAAAATTTGATTGGCTATTAAATGCAATAGCCAATCAGGTTTTAGATAGTCACCAGTTTCACCAGCACAATTTAGTTTCACCAGCAACTCTAGTCTCAACATAGGCTTAAAATATATATTTATACATCATTTATAAGTTACAGAATTGAATTTTCTTTACTAGAGCAGGAGTTATAACATTTAATAAAATTACTATGATAAATCATTTCAATAAATTGATCGACAAAATCTCAAAAATCTTTTATATAATGCGCAAATTGTGCCACACTATGATAGTAAATTATTCAGTAACATCCCAATCCTTTATTTTTATAACATCAATGCATGACTAACAGCAGAGACCGTTAATGTTACACGTATATTAAAACTGATGAGGGATTATATCCATCACAATTGGATCCAACATAAATAATTTGTGATTGATCACAAACGAGAGGGATTCGCTTTGGATCGGGCACTGTCTCTGCTGTTTGCATTATAGTTGTGACCCGAAACCCGAAACCTTTCCGAAACCTCCAAATTAGAATGTTAAAAATTAATACTCATTTATTATAAAGTAACCAAAAAACTCTTGGAATGCAATCTAATTATCATATACTTTAAGTTTTAAAGTTTAAATCTAAATTTCTAAGCTTTTCAGTATAGTGTTCGAGTTTCGGAAAAGGTTTCGGGTTTCGGTTTCGGTTTCGGGAATTTATATATAGTTTCGGGTTTCGGGTCACAACTATAGTTTGCATGACTAGAACTTGGTCATGCTACTTAACTCTAATGCTAATTTTGGCCATTGTTGCATATAAGCAGTTAAATAAATGCAATGCCTATAAATAGATCGAGATGGTTATGCATGCAAAGTTGCGCCATTTCACAATTAATATCTAATCATAGGGTTTCTCAAAAGTCCTAGTTTCAGGTTCTAAATTCGATATATAAAATACAAATATATACTTCATTAACGTTAATGTCGAAAGAAAATCTGACCAAAAACTGACAGATTTTTCCTTTGCATCATTTATACAATCACTGTGCCAAACTATGCAGCTGTGCGGCACACTGAGCACGTGTGATCAATTTTTTTCTTTCCTTTTTTTTCAAAAAAAAAAAACGGGAACCACTTAAGTTAGTTATAATTAATCTAAAATTTGATTAATTGCTATTGATATTGGCATATTTGTTTTTATCAAACTTCGCCTCTAATAATGTTGTTAGATTTGATTGAAGTATACGATGTATTAGTTTCTTTCTTAAACACGAATATATATATATGTTTTTAACGAGTATAAAAATGTCATAATATTTCTCTCCAATTTTTGCAAACCAATATTTCTCTCCAATTTCTGCAAACCATTTGAAATTTTCAATTTTAAAAAATATTAAACAATGTCGCTAAAATATTATTTCTTCTTGGTTATCGCTTTGATTTTCGTTTTGACTACAACGGCT